ATATACATATGATATTCCTTTAGAGTAATCAATAAGGCCTACTATCACTATCCTATTTACCTGGCATAAAGCATCAATATAGGATATAGAACCCTTATTTCTCAGTTCCAATTAAGTCTTAAGAGAGTGGATGGGAAAAGAATCAGCATGTGTTTAACAAACTGATAGCAAATGGGAAAGTACCCATACAGCAAAAATCAACCCCAAATAAATATTTCCCAGTGACTGACTCACTAACACTCAAGGGGGCTGTCTCCTATAGTTCAGCAATGAGGGGAAGATGTCAGGGAAAGAAAAAAAAAAAAAGGTAGCTTTTGTCCAGCCCCATAAATTCAGGAGTACACACAAAGTTTTGGTATCTAGCAGTACCAATCTCCAATTAACAATCTTGCAGCTTTTAACAAGTTTCTTGCCCTTACATAAAAGTTCTTAAGTGACTTGCATATGCACTCATCTCCCCTTCTTTGAATTCTTAACTCCATTTATCACCACCGAAGTTCCCCTCATTGCTTCTCTACCTGAAGGTCAAGATGAAAGTAACAGAAATAGCATGGATGCAGTAGGGCCCTATCAAGCAGTGGTCTTGACTCAGGATTGAGAAAAAGGGGCAGGTTTTTTTTGTTTGTTTGTTTTTTGTTTTTTGTTTTTTGTTTTTAGGGGATAAAGGAAAAGATAGGGTATAAGGAAGAGAACGTAGTCCAAAATAGGGTATAAGGAAGAGAACGTAGTCCCACAAAGGAAAGGATGGGTCAAGACCCTCACTTCAAGAAAGGTCTCCAAACTTGCTTCATATACTTTTCCCTGATGTGAAACCTTTTATCAAAGCTGCTTTAGCCATTTTTCTTATATAAAAGGTTGATGAAACCACCAAACATGGGAAAGACCAACATGTTACATTTACACAATTAGTCTATCTAGCAATCATCAAATCAGTTACTCTTGAAGTCCTACGAAGCACAGGAAAATATAATTACTAGAAGTGACTGCAGTTGAAGGAGACAGGAAACCAGGACCAGAAACACATCATAACGCATAGTTTTCTAAAGCTCAGAATGGAATTAGAAAAAGAGAGTCCAGGAGGCTTCTCACAGGTGGTCAGCTTGACAGCCTCACTTTCTGGGGTCCCTTCCCCCTTGTCAGGTTTGCAGAGTGAACTTGAGGCAGGCCAGCAAGCAGAACTCCCCTGAGAGCTATACCAGGTGGGAGAAGAGAATTCTAAAGGAGGGGGGAAGGTGGTAAGTGGACACAACCTTGGGTCCCCCTTCCTAGGAGAAGCCTGAAGCCCAACACAACCGGGGGGCATGAGAGAGGGTGCAGCTCATACGCATGTTAAGTCCAAACCATCCTGGTTCCGGCCTGGTAGATACTGATAATATAAATACATATACAACGATAACAAGTAAGTTAATACAGTGGAGTATATACGCTTACAAACCAAAACAGCTGTAGTCAGTAAACAATTTAAACAGTTATTTTTTCCCTAAATTAACTGCCATTTCAATACTAAATCATAATATTGACTAGACTGAAACCTGCAAAAGTACTTTTCTGTCTTTGCCAATAACAAAGCTATTTTCAAATTCTTTCCATAACAAATGAAACCCTCACCAGAGTATCATGAATCCTGAAGTTTCCCCCAAAGAAATTACCTGATTAGTTTTGCTTATATAGATTTTCCCAGAAGAAAAGTAGGTACCATCTAGTTGATTTGAAGAGTCAGGTCTGCAACTTAAAGCAGTTGTCCACTTTAATCCACTGTGAATGATCAGTCTAACCTACCCAGTACGCCCCTTCCTAGGTTGTTAATACATCTGCAATGGCCACCATAACAAAATTACAGATTGGGTTACTGAAATGACAGAAGTTAATTTTCTCACCTTTCTGGAAGTTACAAAGTCCAGCAGGTTTGTCTTTTTCCTGAGGCCTCTGTCTTGGGAAGTGCCAGCAAAGATGCAGCAGACTCTATGGATGGGGGCAGCCGGATAAAGGAGAGTCCTTAAGACCTCGGTGGCTCTTTCAGACTTCTAATGCTCTGTCTGCCCCATTTGTAGGGAGGTAGACAGGTGCAGGGTCGGAAGGGGCTTAAGGGAGCCTGGAGGCTGGCAGGCCTCCTGGCCAGGAGCCCTGGATTCGGAGGGCAAATCTTCTCTTTCCGGGCCCTCCAGCATTGCCTCTGTGAGCTCAACTCTGATCTCTACTGCCTTCGACCTAATGGTTCTCTGCCGCCCCAAGCATCTGCTACAGCGTTATATAAGCAGTCTCTGCCCAGGTGCGCCCACTTACGCATGCCCACGCTCCACGTGACGCCACCAGCCATGCATGTAAGCCCACAGGTGTCCACACCGATGCTAAAGGTGGGAGGGCAGGAAAATCCTGATCACTTCCACTTACCCTCCATTTTGGTTTGCAAATGCTTGTCCTATTGCTGTGTCCTCAGATGATTTCTGCAAAGTGCGTACATGTGGGGTGTCCAAATTCCTCTAAGCGTTCATCAGTCCGAATGGGTTAAGGTCCAATTTAGCCTCGTTTTAACCAAATAGCCTATTTAAAGGCCCTACTCCAAATCCAAACATATCCTCAGGTAAGAGAGGTAATAAGCGCTTGCCAGGAACACAGTTCAGCCCCTACAACAAGGCATCCACATTTGGAGTTTCTGGGCCCAGGACGTAAAGTCAAGACGTAGAGCCGAGTGATCTACCTGACATAACAGCCACAGTTCCCGCAGTTTATTCAGTAAGCAAGCCAGGTCTTCCCCACTTTTTGAAGGTTCAAGTTAGGCAACCTGGGCTCTTAAGAAAGAACTGCATCAGCGCCTGTGTCACTAACCCAGAAAGCTGAAGCGTTTCTTCGCTTTTACGACAAAGACAAAAAGTGAAACTGGCGTCAGCGTCAGCTTTGCAGCAGCCGGCAAGAACGCCTGCGTCCCAGCGAGCAGCGCAGACTCCGGCAGAGCAGACACCAAGCCCTGTCCACCCAGGCTGTACTCGGTCATGTCACCCCATGCTTTTGCTGTAAGTTACTGTGGTTTTAGGGCTTGTGTCATTTTGTATGAGTTGATAGGTTATTTGGGGAGGGGCTGAGAACACTCAAGAAAATTTCCCTCTGTTGAGTGGTAATTGCTTCTTCACTTTATGCTTTCAACTTTTAAAAGGTTTAATGGGAACTCTACTTTTGGGTGAGGAAGTGAAGGGGGAAAGCTGTAAGAAACATGCACTTTTTTCAACCCCACTTTATTCCTTCTCTAATAGTTTAGATTTCCTTATCTTTAGCTAAAGAGGTTACACAGATCCAAATGGATAACATTCATTCATCCTACATTCATTTTCCTTATCTTATAAACTCATTGTAGCTCGTTTAGCATTCTTAACTTAATGGGCCCAAAAACAAAATCTCAGAAATAACAACTGTAATCCCTGTTCTTTTCAATAGCTATCAGTGAGGTGTCCAAGGGTTTGTCAGTGCTGTTTGAGTTCTGAGTTGCACAATATGTATGTCTATCAGAACTTTTATGTGAAGCCTGCAGGGAAAAGTACTCAGTACTAAATCTACCGATATTAACAACGAGAAGAGGTAGAATGTGGAGTGTTAAGGTTTGTTAATAATTACTAATGACGACCTGGATGTGTGATGGATTTTTTAATAGGAAACGGCGGGAAGATGAGTAGAACTAGAAATACTAGCAGCTGTTACAGGAAAGGCCCATACATTGATGCTAAAAACAGAGGCTAGTCATCAACATAATAGTGGCAGTAGCTACTAGTATTGTGTTTCACAGACTCTACCAATTGTCCTAAACTAAATCTTTTCAGTAGAAATGTAATGGCAAAGGCCAATAACAAAATATAAACTCCTTTAATCAGAACAAGCATATGTCTACCTGATATCAAATATATTATGAAAGTTTTTAAAGCAAATGTATTAAATCAGGTTTTTTCCAGTTTTTTCTTTATTTTTATTAAGTACCATTATTTTACACCCTTGCTAGTACTTTGACAGTATAGGACCCCTCAGGTGTGTGTCGTCACTGTAGCCCTCCCTTCACCAAATTACACTGACTGCTCCTCTCTGAACCATTGTTTTCTCCCACCCATTGTTTTCACCTCTGGTTTTCAAGTTTGACTTTGACTCTTTGTTTAGTTTTACTGTATTTCACATATATGCAGCATCATTTGACATTTTTCCTTCTGGCTTATTTCACAAAATATAATCCCTTCCAGCTCTATCCATGTTGCTGCAATTGGCATGAGTCTATCTGTTTTGATTGCTTAGTAACATTCCACATCTTCTTGATCCATGCATATGTTTTGGGGTATTTAGGTTGTTTCCATACTTGGCTACTATAAATAGTGCTATTACAAACATGGGAATACAAGTTCCTTTTTAATTAGTGTTTTTGTATTCTTTGGATACCCAGAAGTGGGCTGTTTCCTTTTTGCTGAGTTGCATAAATTCCTTGTAGATTTTTGAGATCAGTCCCTTGTCAGATATACGATGTGCAAATATTTTCCCCCATTCAGTAGAATGTCCCTTCATTTTAGTTGTAGTCTCCTGTTGTACAGTGTTTAGTGTGACATAGTTCCAATTGTTTATATTCTATATTGTTCTCTTTGCTGCTGGGACAAAGATGTAAAGATAGCTGAGGTTTATGTCTTGGAATGTTGTTCTGCTTTCTTCTATGTATTTTATAGCTTGAGGTTTTGCATCCAACAATTTTATCCATTTTGAGTTTTAAATCTTTTTTTAAAATAGAGACTATTTAGAATTTTAGCACGTACACTGTACATTCTTAAATACAACATATTTGTATTTTTTAAATTAAGTATAACTTAGCTGAATTATATATCTAATTATCAAGCTTGAATTGTGGTTTAAGAAAGCAGAAACACTTGTTCAGCATTCCAACCCTCCATATCTAGTGACATAATTAACTTATTCTTGGTAGCATACAGGTTTAAATAGTAAAAGAACTTATGCACAAATAATTCAATGTACTACAAAGGACACCCAAACACATCTTTTTATTTATATACTAAATTTAAAAATACAAATCTTATTAAAATGCTTATGAAACATTGTATACATAAGTACTGACAAATACTATCAGATTATGGCATTGTGTAATTTGCTAAAGTTAATCAGAATCAGAACAAAGTACATAACTGCTGATAACAAATTTCAGAAGTCAAAAATTTTAACATTTGGCAACTGTGAAGTAGTGATCTGCACAGGAAGGATGTCTGCAGAGGTAAAATAGTAAGAGAATAAGGAATAATGCAGGGAGTCCTGCTCTGTATTAATAAGTGGGTCTCTTTCTCATCTGCTTAATTCTCATTACAACAGAAATTAAAGTGCACAAGACCACCAGGAATACTTGATTTGGTTGTACCCTAATATATACAACAGCCAATTATGCTGCCATATTAAGGGTTACGATTCTTTGTACTGTTCCTGAGGTTTTAGAAGCTAATTTTGAATGTGGTAAAGGGAAGAGAGGCCAATACTTCCTAAATTGCACCAAATAGCCTTAAAGTGTAGAAACACCAAAGGTAAAAATATTAACATAGGGATAAATTCAAGAAAATTATCCCTGTCTATTTTGCCCTGGGAATAAAATTAGGGTAAGAACCTAGTTTCACCTCTGGAAAAGCTTACTAAAAATCGGTTTTAAAAGGTCAAACATGTACAGCAAGCACCACAATACTGTCAGTTACTGCTTACCACTTAGATACTGTATCATAAATACCAGGCATAAATACCTGCCCTCTAAGGTTCACAAGAAATACAGGTAGAAGCATGTGATTACTTGACACTGATTTTACTAATTAACATTAAGTATAATTTGTAAAAATAGGTCACCATCATACAATCAAGGAAGAGGAGAAGAAAAGCTGCTAGTCTATAAAAGTGCTCCTTTTAGCTTTCAAACCCAACAGCTTAATTTTGGGTAAAACAAGATTGTAAAGTAAGGCCATCAGTTCTAAATAAGCTGATGAAGCCGTATATACATACTCACATATATATGCTTAAATTTCAATTCTGATTTAACACTAATGAACTAGTACAAACCATTTCTAGGAAACATTTTATCAAGCTTATTTACAAATACACGATGAATGACAAAGATATGGAAAATTTTAAAAACTGCAGGTATACATAGACATTTAGCAATATAGTTCACTAAAGATAAAACAGATTTGCATAATGTTTGTAAAAACCAAAGAGTTTTGTAAGAAACCCCTAAACATATATATCTATGGGTCATTTGACCTGATAGGCAAATAAATGGATGATCATGATTAAACTTTTATTACCATCTCTTAATAACATATCAGGATGAGGTCTACTTAGAGTACTACCTGCAAATACACAGTCTTCTCATGATTCAATGAGAATATTAAGTTATTGAATAGATTTTTACTCCCATGGCACATCATACTTGGTAATACTAATAAGGTAGATTTAGATAACACTTAAATCATGATTACGAATGTTTAATTGAATATTTTCCTTTCTGTAGCTGCGAAATGTAAAGCTTAGATTTGCTTCCATCAGGCCTCTTAAACCAAACTTCATCATGGTTAATTGTTGTAATTACAGCACTAAAAGGGAAAAAAAAAAAAAAGGAATGAATGAATGAATTACAATATGCCTCCTCCACCAGTCTGGCTTTCATAAAACCAGAATAGCTGGACTACAAGAATTCAGGTATGTAACTGTTTACCAGAATGCTGTACTAGCAGCAGGACATGCTGTCAAAAATATCACACCCAGCAACACTTAATAATCTCCTTGCTTTTCTTAATAGAATTGGCTAAATTTACTTTCTAACATAACCACTAAATGCATATCATTCCTACTCTGTCTCCAACCCCAAAAAAGAATGGAGCTAAAACCACTACTTATGCTATTATCCAGATCATCAGCCTTGACTATACAAAATCTGTCAAATACCAGTCCCTAATTCAAACCATCTATAATAATTGTATAAATTTATTGTGATAATAAATATTTGCATAGAAATGTCAACATTTCCACTTATGTTATTGCTTATGTTCATGAACTTAATATGCAACTGTGGTATATTAACACTGGTATTCACACACGCTATTCAAAACATGTTGAGAGAAAAAAGGATACACAAACAACTATTGATGCATTACGAATGCATTTCTGGACAGCAAATATTTATTCACAATAATTATTCTGCCACTGAGCAACACTGAAGTGATAAAGGCTTTTTACCTTGTAGGACATTCATCTTTTTTATCAATACATATTGTTTGTCCACGTATATACCATTCACCATCGTAATATAATCTTCCCTCTTCAGATCTAGCACTGTGCAAATGTTTTTCCAGTTTCACAGGTGCTAAAGGGATCAGTTCAGAAACTGTTACATTAATAAGACATTGTCAGATAAACAAAAATACAAAACTAAAAATACCAAGCATTTATAAGAAAAAACATTACATATCTCTTACATAACTAAGAAATATTTATATTTCTTACATAACAAACCAAAATCTAATAGAAATAAGATTTATTTCTTACATTTTGTATATAATTCAAAGTTACAAAACAAAACTAAATACAATAAGTAACAATTAACTGGAAACTTGCCAAAGAGGGGAACAGGTAAATTATCAGTTACTTGTGCCAATTTTAAGCAGGATTTAAAATATCAATTACTATATTTACACTGAACATTTTTTTTATATATATTTTTTCCATGACAGTCATCTGAAATGTCTAAAGAAACAGAGTTTAATATATATTCCAAGAGTTTCCCGGGTCTATGATTCTAAAACAGAATTTCTTATGTAAAATTTATACAAATAAAGAAATTAAATATTAAAAAATTCCTATGTAGAACAGCTGTTTTTAAATCCTAGAAATGGTTTTTGATAGACTCATGCAAAGAAAAAAAGTTCTCTGTAAAGCATACTGTATAAAGCATACTCTGATATAAGTATCTGCTTCATCATTCAATTATCACTACCACAGGTCTTCCCCAACAATCCTGTCCACTCCTTCATTAATTTTCACTATAATTTCATCTTCCATCACAGCAAGTATTACAATATATGATCATCTTTGTCATTCATTTACATATATTTTTTTCTGCTTCCCCAAGGAGGTTCTAGGAGGTCCATTTCTTGAACCATTGTATTCTCAGAGCCTCATATAGTGCCTGGTATGTAGAAAATGTTCAAAAAGCATTTATTTATTGATTTGTGCAACAAGTATTTTCTGAGCACGTTCAACCACAAGAATTTTGCTTGATGCTGAAGAAAAAAACTGTGACTAAAAATATGGTTCCGACCTTTGTGGATCTTACAATTCAGCCAGAAGACAGATAAATATAAAAGCAATAAATTAAAAATTACAAACTGTGGAAAGTACCATGAAGAAAACAAACAGGATACAAAGCTAAAGACAACAGATGAGAGAGGATACCCATTCAACAGTGCAGTGGGATCTCAAAGGAATCAAAATAGTTCAAAAATGTTAAGAACTTAAAGATCTAAGTACTTCTTCCAGTTAACTCAGCAGGAAATTAATTTACTACAATATTGCTACAATGTCCTGAATCTAAGTTTTAAAAAATCCTTGAGTTAAATGAAAATTAATCTTTTTTAAACTATCTATTTGAATGTTACTAGAAAGTCCTCTTACTGGTACTTACAACATGGGTGATTTTTTTATTTATTTATGCATACAAAACTGGGGTACAGGCCATAGATGTGGGGAGTGAGAGGATTCACCAGAGACAGATCAGGGAGCAGAACAGACATACTGAGGGGAAAACAAGTACACTACTGAGGGGAGTACAGGGCAAGACAGGAGAAGTCTGCCACGCCATGTGGGTCATCTCCCTGGCTGAAGATCTAACTTATGCTGCAGCAGCTGCGACTAGCTTTGTGGTGCTGCGCTTTAACCCACTGTGTCACCAGGGAGGGCCCAAAACAAGCGTATTTTTAAATTTAAATCTAACTTCACTGTTCTTAAAAGAATTAGGAAACAGAAAGTGAAAAAAAGCAAAAACAAAAAATTAGACTAGACAATAAGGTATATTAACTATTTTAGGTCTTCCAAAAAAAAAATAAATCAAGCAAAATTTAATGGGAATTTTACTAAGCCTTATCTGAATATTTAAATCTTAGTGATGGGTTAACCTTTTCTTTTCTGGATGGACTCTACTGCTACCACTCAAGTAGCTCTCCTAGAAAATGGAGGCATGTAAGGAATTTTGTTCACAATTTCAGAATTCACAGTCTCCCTGAAGGCAATCCACAGACTCAAAAGTCCTCCCCTATAGAATTACTGAGACCATGAAAAACATTTAAAAAATAATTTCAAAATTAGTGATTACTAGCAATAGTAATGTAGCTGAAACAATGAAAGAAAAAATATATATTGCATTCAGAAACCTGGAAATTTTTCCATGAGGCAAAGATGCCCAAAGAATTCTTCATTATTTCAAATAAAGGGTTCACTGATGAACTGAAACTATTGACAGGGGAGCTTTTTAGTATGTAAGACTTAACTCTGAATCTCCAGAGAAATTTTCTGAAATGAGACTTACGTTCTGTTTTAACTCTGTGTGGACCCAATGTAGCCATCGCCTTTAAATAAAAAAGGAAGAGAAAGAGGTTGTCTGAGTCCATATACTAAAAGTGTACATTGATATCTCTTTAATATACATACAACATTAGTGATAAGTTCAATAATAATCACAGGAAATATAATCGTCAGATGCTCTAATTATTAATCCAATACCATAGAAATATGTATGTAAATAACAATTTTTCCTAGAGATGTTGTCAATACCTGAAATCTAAGAATTAGATTCTAAAATCTAAAAGTGGAAGTTCCTAAAAATGGAAAATTTTAATAAATAAATCTGCACTTTCAAATAAGCACAGAAAATCTTTTAAGTTTTGGATGCTTAATGAGGATGCAAGACATACATTAAGGATTCAAATATTTATTTTTGTTCATTCAACAAATATTTATCGTCTGTGAGCCAGAACTGGGCTAAGGAATAGGCACAGAATGATTATATTTTATCTGTGGACAACCTAAATAAACACTTTGCTGTACTTCTGCATAAATTATATTACTATAAAAAAATACAAAATATTGACAATTCTCTTAAAATACGCTTGCATCCACTGTTACCTATATTAGTAATAAATCCCTTAGAGAGAATATTATCAAGCAAATTTAAATAAAACTTTGATATATTAGTAAAAAAAAATCTTAAAAAGTAGCCTGTAAAAATATATTTGTATTCCACTGCTCCTTGTACCTTCCTAATTGTTGTCCAGTCTTCAAGAATATCAAGATCTTGTAACATATAAACTATATATGGACGTTGAAAAGTCAAGGTTAATTTAGCTATTAAGATTTTCACACTTTGAATTAAACTTTTAAATTTCTATTTTTTTAAGACACTAGATATATCTCTGGATATATCTTCAAGTCTGCTGAATTCTGACTAAAAGTTACTATTCTTCAAGAAACTTACTACCAGAATATATTCCAATATTTCAGATACTATAATCTTACTCTTTTAGTTCTACTACTTACTGACTATAAGATACACCTTCAACTTAATCACTTTTCTTTTTTTGGTTTGATTTGATTTGGGGGGGCAAGGGGCCATAAGGAATGCTAGTCTTAAATGAAGCACTAATTTAAAGACTTCCAATATTCCATTAAATATGTTTAAAATACGCATGAGAATTAAACAAGCATGCCATGTACCAAACACCTGTTTAATATGAAAGCCCTTGTGAACTATAAAGTCATATTAATTTTCAAAGGTGCGATCATGACTAAATTTCCATTCCCTATCCCTCTTAATCGAAAGTATATCCTTCTGTCTTCAGTTTCATAAATCATCTGTGCTTATAACAGAATCATGCAAATAATGTCACTGTGTACCAATAACTTACAAAGGTATACATAATGCAAAATGTACATCAAGGCATTAGGAAAAAACAGGAAGTTTGGAAAAGGATATCAGAAACAACAACTGGCTTCTTTTTGTCAGGGCTAAAAGGATCCTTTCTCTTTTTTCTTGACTGAAGTTCATCATTCCACAGCTCTGAAGATCAAAAGGAGAAAAAAAACTAATTTCATGGTAGCAAGACTACATGGACAGTGAAGAATATTTATACATGTGACTATATTATTTCATAAGCAACTATATATAATTTTTCTTTGCCTTTATTAAAGTAAAAATCAACTTGGCACTGAATGACGAGTTGATAGACATTTGTCAGGCACACTGTTAAATATATAAACATGCATTGTCTCACCTACTTGTCAGAGCTACCTGAGGTAAGTATTCCTATCGTTGTCATTTTACAGACAAAAAGCAATTCAGAAAACCTAATGTAACTGTCACCCATATTCACCCAACTAGGAGATAATGGAGCTTAGTTTGTTGGACAATCTGTCTACTCTATACTAGGATAATAAAATTTATAGTAAGTAAACTAACACATATGCAATAATTATAGCATAACCCAGTAAATTTTCCGCCAAAGTAGAAAGACTTACCACAATACCCACCAAAAAAGCCAATTTTGTAGTGGACTTAGTTTCTGCTTCCCTATACCTACTATCTATTTGTCTTATTTTGTGTGGTACCAAAGAGAAGAGATTTTTATTCCTTCTTTCATATGACAGTCTTTTAAGACTCAAAGGGAAAAATACTGTAGCTGTCTTCCATTATGAAAACTACTTGTGTAGTATACTATTCTTAAAGTTCCTATTTTGTCCCTTTTCATACACTCCGTCTTCTACACCTTCCTAAAGTGTATCAAAGCACAATCATAATCATAATGAAGTCTTTATAAGTCTCACCTCCCCTCTCATTAAGGTACTTCATTTACATAACATTTATGTTAGGAGACAAAAATATTATAGTAAACCAAAGGTTTAGATATCAGTTAAATATCACACTCACATCATTCCCATTACCTGAGGTAATATCAATGCTGTGCCTATCCTCTTCAAGCCTTCTTATCTTTTCCTCTAGTTCACTCTGGACTGTATCATATAACAAAAGTTTTTCACTCTGGAGAAAAAAATAAAAGATTGCACATAAGTAGAAAGAAAAACTGACCTATCTGAACTAAGAGTACTAATTAACTCAAAGTGCTTTTACCGTACAATACTTTTCAGTTTTAAAATTTTTAAGATAAAATGTCAAATATATAAAAATAGTATATATCCACATTTAATTACATGCAATTAAAGAACATCTAAATTTATACATGATTCAGATAACAGGCAAATATTTACTATATTAAAAATTCATATACAGGGTCCCCTGTTGGCACAAAAGGTTGTGATGCAGCACTATGAAGGTACCTGCCACCACTGCAGCATGAGTTCGATCCCTGGCCAGGAAGGTGACGTACATAGCACAGCAGACTTCTCCTATCTCACCCACTGCTCCCCTTAGCAGTGTACTTCGTTGACCTACCTGTTCTGCTCCCCACTCTGTGTCTGGCAAGTCCTCTCACCTACCTCCCCTCCCTGGCATTTCTAGCCTACACCCCAGCTCTTGTATAAATAAATATCTTTTTTAAAAGTTCATATATAAATGTAAGTACCACCTACCACCAAAATGCAAAAATGGAAAGTCTATCCTATAAAGTGAATCATTATAAAATGGATCATATTTTCTGTTCAGAACAACAGCTGGGTCTTTATTTCTCACTAATATCTCAGCACCACACTAAAATAGACTAGTATCACAAAAAGAAAAGATTCGAGTACAAATTTTATAAAATTTTTAAATCACTTATAATTATAAATCCAATAAAATTATATATATATCCAAATTTTCAACAAAACTATAGAAACACTGAATGACTTGCTAAGGGTAATAGGATTATTTACTAGCAAATCAAACTAGAAGTCCCAGGTCTACTGGTTTTAGTCCATTACTTTATATAACACTGTCTCCCTTATTTTAAAAGTCATAAAATATTATAGGTATAATAATATGTATATCAAGTATATGAAAAGCTATGATAGATTTCCAACCTATCATTCACATGCTCATCTTCAATAAGGATCTAAGGGTATTGAGATATGACTGTCCTGTAGAGCCTTCAGTTAGAATAAAAAGGATTTATTTTCCTTTTTTTATTTTAAAGAGTTATTCCTTTATTGTAAGATTTTTTAATTTATCTATTTAAGTTGTGGAGAAGAACCAGAGTATAGGCCAGAGATGAGGATGGTGAGAGGATTCACCAAAGACAGCATGGGGAGCAGAATAGGCAGATCAATGAAGTACACTGCTGAGGAGAACAGGGGCAAAATAGGAAAGATCTGCTGCACCATGTGGGTTAGTTTCCTAGTGATCAAACTTAGGCCATCTGGGTAGTAGCACTGAGACTTAACCCCTGGGCCACCGAGGAGGTCCAGATCTGACTTTTTATGGAAGGTATAGACCACATTCATTTAGGAAGTGTTCCCAGAGTCAATCATAAAGTTTAAAGATTGTTAAAGATTCTCCTGAGTGGTAGGGAATGATGGGGCCAGCAAAGATGAAGAACATTACAACTAGATCTCATAAGAAAAATAATCTTACTGCATGCTTACCTCTAAGGCTTACTTCCTTTTATTTGTCCCTGCCCTTGGGGAATACAAAATGTATCTTACGAAATATTCTAGTTTTACTGCATTTTTCACAAAATGTTATGTATTAGAGAAGAACGGATATCATGCCACCACCTCAGTTCAAGTGTGTGGCAACTCTAAAAAGAGATCCAAATTCTCCAACCAGATAACTCTGAACAGAAAGCAGGAATGATAAAGCTTTTGCTTTTAAGAGCATGAAAGTTTATTCCTTTCTACTAGTTAATTTGCCTTACCAAGCAAAATTTCTAAAATATGTCTACTTATTGCTTTTTACAGTTTTTAAAAGCCAAGAGACTGAAATGTTTGAAACTTTGAGGTATCTATAAAGATATTATAGGTATACTTTACAGAATACTGATATGGCTTGAATTGTTTCTCTTTGTTCTTCTCTCCCTTTCCCCCCAACCCCATAAGATCCTCAAAAGGCTTCCATCAGAAAGAAAGAAAGAAATAATAAAGCAGCAAGAGGATACCATGAAAGAAAGGCATCCAATCCTTCCTGCTTTGGTAACTGTAGAGGATTCTGGTTCAGTGTAATTTCATTCTTTAAAAGTGCCTCTGAGAATACTTAGTGGGCTTCAAGACCTAACATTCCTCAAATTTCCATACCTAGACTTAGTGATCCTACTCGTTAAGTCCTTTTCCAAGCAGATACCCATGTTTTTCCCATCAGCTTTAAGTCGCCCAGGAAAGTGATTCCAGGGTTCCATTTTTGTACTGTTCTCAACAATAGCCTGTATTTAGAACCAACTCCCTTTTAGCAATTTCTTGACTTAAGTACCTCACTGTTCTCAATTTCCTTTAGGACTCAAATCCTGGGAGAGTCTGAAGGACTAGCATTCCCAGAAAGTAAAACATATTAAAAAGCTACCATCAATTTTGGTTATTAAGTATATTACTTCATAATAAAAATCAGAATAGGATTTAAAACATCAGTAAAGACCCTAGTTTTGCAATATTTTAGTACATGATAAAGGAAACTTGTCAACACACCTGGCTATCTAAGCAATAAATGACACAGGAAAAATAAATTCATATAAAGGAAACTCAGTATTTTTTTGCCTCATGTTTTATATAAAAACATGGGGAAAAGAATTAAATTTAAAAGGCAAAATCTAAAAGGAACTAAAGCTAAGATTTGATGTTGAGACGAAGAAAGTATTTCAAAGCACAAAAATTAGATGTCATAAATGAAGACTAAAACATTTAATCACATAAAAATTACATTAAAAGGGGTCCTCCTTGGTGTTGCAAGGGATGAAGTCTTAGCACTATGAAGCTATCAGCAGCCACTGCAACTCAAGTTTGATCCCCGGCCAAGGAGCTAATCCACATGGCACAGCAGACCTCTGTCTCTCCTGCAGTTCCCTCAGCAGTAGATCCACCTCACTTGGCAAAGTTTTTTAACTATTATAATATACAATGTTAACTGTGATGGGAGAAAGAATGGCTGTTTCTCATTATTAAAACTGCTTTCAGAAATATATACACATATTACCTGTTAAAAACAAATGTTTTAAGAGAATATTTATAGCAATATCAAGAAATGCTGCTTGCAAAAAAAATTAGGTCACAAAATATTATATATAGTCATATCAATTTT